AAGTAACTGGCGAAAGGACGAGAGGAAATGGCCTCAAGTTGCACCAGGGGAGGTTTAGATTGGATGTAAGGAAAAATTTCTTTACTGAAAGAGTAGTTAAACATTGGAACAGGCTGCCCAGGGAAGTGGTTGAGTAAAAGACGTGTAGATGAGGCGCTTAGGGACATGGTTTAGTGGGCATGGTGGTGTTGGGTTGACGGTTGGACTCGATGATCTTAGAGGTCTCTTCCAACCTTAATGATTCTATGATTCTCAAAAAGAGCCCTAGTATGGAAAGGTCTCAAACCAATTAATAACAAGACACATTGGTTCTTGACACTTACAGAGGTCACAAAGTTTTCTTCAAAACAGCTTACCACCTGCCCTCCCAGGTTTGGTGAAGATAGCATTTCTTAATCCCTGCCAGAGCATCTGCACACTGGCTTTCATTACTCAGGGATAAAGCAACTTTAAATCATCACTTGTAACGCATTCTCTCAGAAACTCCAATACTTGAGCGGGTGATCCAGATGAAATTCAAACAAAGGATATCAAACAAGCATATCCCGCAAGACATTGCCTTCCTTCTGCCTGTGCAGACATAGTACTGCTTGGAGTTAAACCATGCTCTCTGCAAACAAGAAGAAATGACTTCACTAGGCAGCTGAATCGGCAACTGCAAGGAAATCCTCCAGACGAGACACGCTGACAGCTATTTCAAACTAGATCTACTGGAAACAGGTGAACAGCCACGCTGGCAGGCAAGGAAATCACAACGGCATGAAATTTCAAAGAAATCTGAACTAGCCTTTCAGATTTCCTCAGGACCTTCTGCACCTATGCTATAAGGACCTCCCTATTTGCCTCGTTTCCTACAACTGTCTCTAAACTAAAAAAAAAAAATCCCACAAGCACCGAAACAGAAAATATTTCAGGGCCACTTTGCTAACAGCAATAAGCCCTTTATGAAAATTCTAAACAACTATCTCTAAGTTAAACACTGGGAAACCAATACAATGCTTGTGGAAATTGTCTGACGTTAACATCTTTGTCTACTCTTGCACTACAGTACTTGAAAAAGAAACCAAATCCCATCAGAAACTCATTCTCAGTTTGATGTGTTCTTTAATGAGATTTCTCATAAATCACTTGTTTATTGGTGCCGCAATTCAAAACAATGAAAGAAAAACTGATGATTTAAAATAAATTTCCCCTGCCTTCCGTTCTACAAGCAGATGCAGAGCAGCTCACAAATTAGGGATTTAGTTATTTTCGAAGAGGAGTGAGAGACTATGAAACAAGACCAAGAAAACAGAAGAACATTTTAAGTAAGTTGTATTTTTACATGAATTATAGATCCTAAGAAACTTTAAAAATACTTTGAGAATATTATTAAGGCTACAGCTCCATGCACATACCAACTCTTTTCTCCAAAAGATTTCCCTGCTGCGCAAGCTTGATTGCATGGATATATCCAAAGGAAGACTCGTACCCCAGCATTTCACAATAGATGAGTCTCACCATACATTCTTTCATCAGTCTCTGAAATACCAAAAATAAATTACTGAGAATTAAGTCAGCCATGTTTTATGCTCTTCTTCACTGCTCTAACGAAGAGGACTTTATCCGATAGAAACATCTGCGCATTCACATTCGTTTTCTAAAATCAGGGTATTCGCAATTTTTCCTTTGCTATGAACCTCTTCCGCAAATCAATATTAATTTTTGACCGTAAGAGCAGAACTCCCCATATGCTACACTTAAAGATGTTATCTTGATTAGCATGCACGTGATCAACACTAGAGTAATTATGACTAACACAAAAAATACGAATTAAGTGTTAGATGATCGCACTGCTAATGCAAATTATTTTTTACCAATCACTACACTGGCCTAGGATGGGTTTTCACTATGTGTGAGGTAAAACTTATTTTTCCCTTCAAAAATTCTCACTCGTGGGACTGAGGTACGCGTTAACTCACTGAAACCAGAATATATCAACTCCTGTAACTCGGACATGAGCAACAGCGCATACAACAAAGCACAGCTTCTTATATAGCACAAATAAGTTGTAAGAACAACGTCAGCCTGCAAAGAACGTTATTTGATGGAAGCAGTTCATCACCCAGCTTTTTCTCTGGCGTTATTTCAGAAACTACAGACCGGCAGACTCTGGGCGCCGTATCGTTACCGTTTGTTCACAAACGGAACCGCAGTGTCCTCACTATTTTCACCGTGCCGCAAAGCCACAGGCATCGGTACCTTTTCGATAAATATCTGTAACGCAGACAACCTCTACGCACCGCCTGGCAAAAAGAGTGAGAACACTGTTTTTCTTCACCTTTGGTCTGCTGTTCCCACAGCCCGTAAGCACTAAGGGAACTCACAAGTGTTGTGGTGGGGGCAGAAACTGTTGCTTTCAAACTGGTTAGTTCCTGCTGGATTAGTTTTTCTTCTTCCTAGAAAAGATTAAACTTCTTACTTTCATCTCGCATAAATTCTGGAGGCCAAAGGCGAAGCAGAAGCCGAAGGAGACGCGTTAATTTAGCAGCACCGCCGCCTGCCCAACGCCAAGCGCCCGCCTCCTCGGCGGCAGCAACGCCGGCC